AGCGGAGTTCAGATCTCTGGTCCAAGGAAGTTACCACACATTACATTCAAGTTTCTATTTGAAATTTTGCTATTTTAAAACATTTGTTATGGACAGTATTTTCTTGCAGCTAATCTGCCAACAGTTCACAGCTGGCTGTACAAACTACTGAAAATGTTAAATTTGTATTGCATTGTACTTCATTGTACTATATATTGAATATATTTCTTGAAAAATGCCATATCTTCATTGTTTGGTAAAGATGATGAAAATTATTGTCTCTTCTGTTGGAATTTTCTAGAATGTAATGCCATTATCTGCTGGCCTATTCAAAAGTGAACACAAAAACCCAGTCTCTCAATGTCCTCCACGTCTCCATGTACAATTTTTGACTCATGTGCTTTGGAGCAGAGTGCCCAACCACTTCTTGAAGGCTGATGTCTCTCGGATCAGTGAGCGCCAAGGCTGGATGATACAGTGCCTGAATCCTTTGCAGTTCATGGCACTTCATATTCCTGAAGAAAACAGGTTCATGTCTGTGTGTTGAAGTATATCAGAGTTAGGTTGGGATTATAAAGCTAGACAAGTAATAAAATTACTATAAGGAAAGCCCAAGGACTTCTCTGTGTTTATAACACATGTAAATAAAGTCAATGTGTTTTTCTTTAGCTAATATTAAAAAATGAATCTTGTTTTTTCAAGGTTTTAAAATCTGCCTCTTTTTGTTGTGTTTTCAACTTCTAGTTTCTCTCCAAACTCTTTAATAGTGTATATATAGGTTTTGATTGAAAGTGAGAGGAACTCTGTTTATTACAGATAATGTGTAAGATAGGCAAAGAGCTGGTTTTGTAGGGTTTTTTTTAAGATTTGTGACCATTTTAATTATTCCATTACTTTACCTTTCCTAACTTTGTTGTAAACAATTGAAAAAAAATGAACTCTGTGATTTCCTGTGTTTCCTTGCTGAAATGTGGAAAAAATCCATCCCTGAGAACTGATATTGTTCCAATGTTACCCTTAGGAAGAATTTTGTATTCTGTCACTTAAGTAAGTTTTTGCACTGATATGGAATTTTCTGTACTTTATTTTTTCTCTCTGCAGGACAATTGATATTTTAGAGCTGACGGAACAAGAAGAATTGCTGAAATTTCACTACCACACCCTCCGCTTATATTCAGCTGTTTGTGCTTTAGGTAACAACCGAGTGGCCCATGCTATGTGTAGCCATGTGGATGAATCTCAGCTCCTGTATGCCATTGAGAATAAATATATGCCAGGATTATTACGTGCAGGTTATTATGACTTACTCATTGACATCCATCTCAATACCTATGCAACTGCCAGGCTAATGATGAATAATGAATTTATAGTTCCAATGACAGATGAGACCAAGAGTATTACTTTGTTTCCTGATGAAAACAAAAAACATGGCCTCCCTGGTATAGGACTTAGCACTTCATTAAGGCCAAGAATGCAATTCTCATCTCCAAGTTTTGTAAGCATCAGCAGTGAATGCTTTCAGTTCAGTCCTGAATTCCCTCTGGAAATCTTAAAGGCCAAAACCATTGAGATGCTGACTGAAGCTGTTCAGGAGGGCAGCCTCCATGTCAGAGATCCAGTTGGAGGTTCTACAGAATTTCTGTTTGTTCCTCTCATCAAGCTCTTTTATACCCTCCTAATTATGGGAATCTTCAACAATGGAGATCTGAAACACATCTTGCAGTTGATTGAGCCCCGGGTTTTCAAAGAAGCAATGATCCAGGAGGATGAAATTGATTTCTCTGAGAAGGAGATGAGTTCAGATGAGCTCAAGTCAGAAGAAGGAGAGGAAGAAACCAGAGGGGAAAAAGTGCCAAAGGAAGGACTTCTTCAGATGAAACTTCCAGAACCTGTTAAATTGCAGGTAACAATACTGCTGTAATAGTGGTTCCTCTTTCTTTACAGAGAATTTTTTCTTCAGTTGGTGATTTCTCTTTCAAGAAATACAACATTTTGATGTCAGTTAAATAGAGAAGGAACTTCCTTTCAGGAAAGAACATTTGTTATCTTCTTGATGATATAAACTTGTTCACCACAGGTCAAACAACTGTTGTGTCATAAAATAGAATTACTTTCTCAATGACATTAGCAGAGAATTCTTATGGATCCAAAGAGAAGAGTATTTCCCTAGAAACAAGGAGTAAATCCATTCTCTTTTCACTTTTACAGAAGTCTTACATTTTATATGTCTGAGACAAATAAATCTCTTGCAGATGCCAAATATTCCTCATGTAGGATTATTTCACATGTAGCAAATGACAGCATTGAATACTTCAATCACTTTATTTCATAGTAACTGCTGACATAAGGAATCCATCCTTATTTGTATAACATACAGAAGATACTTCTTAGCTTGCCAAATGTTCTTTCACTTACAATATTGTCTTCTTAGATGTGTCATCTACTCCAGTATCTGTGTGATTGTCAAGTACGACACCGAATAGAAGCCATTGTAGCATTTTCAGATGATTTTGTGGCCAAGCTTCAAGAGAATCAGCGCTTCCGGTACAATGAAGTGATGCAGGCCTTGAACATGTCTGCTGCCCTGACAGCTAGAAAAACAAAAGAATTTCGATCCCCACCTCAGGAACAGGTACAGCTCACAATGGACAATTTAGTTTTTGTTGTCCTCTGTGTGTGTCAAAGTTCTGCTTGATCTCAAAGTTTTTCCTCTTGGAGATTGGTGTAATTTGCCTTTCCTTTGTATTCTTTAAGATTAACATGCTCCTGAACTTCAAAGATGACAAAAATGATTGTCCTTGCCCTGAAGAAATTCGGGATCAGCTCCTGTATTTCCATGAAGACCTAATGACACACTGTGGTAAATCTTGTTACTCAACATCTTTACTTTTTAAAATTATACTAGCACTTTTTCTAAATAATTTTATTGAAGAAAAACCAGCGAAGTAGTCTATAAATTACACTATATCAGTTATCAATACCATGCAATAAAAATACTCAGCTAGTATCTTTACAAAACCAAGGAAATTTTCTTAGCCTCATATCTGGTCAGACTAGAAGGGAGTGCAATATGTTTTGCTTCATGAGGGAAATTTTTTTTTTTTTTTCCCATCCTTGTTTCCCACAACTCTGTGGGAATTTCTTTGGGCTTAATGTATTGGGTAATGCTGTAGTTCACTTGCTATTCAAGGGGTTCCTCTGCCCTATTTCCTCTTCCTTGCACTCCCCTGCTTAGGTTTGTATAGGTCATCTTTGCTGTAAGTTGACTATGGCCATGTTAACCAAAAAACAGCATAATATTAGCTGCTGATCATCTGCAGACATTAATGAAGATATAGAAGATTATTATGTATTGAAATAGACTAATGAAAAGTTAAATTTCTGTGGTTTTAATTTCTTCACTTTAGTTAATAAAAAAACAATGGAATTTTGTCGCTTTAAAATGTGAAATACAGTAGCGAATTCTGTAATTTAAATACAAAAATACCAATATAAATGCTGGTGCCAAAATGTATATTTTAAATGTCAAACTCATAGTAATGAATACTCCAAATTCAGTTTTTGAGTAGTTTTGTTCAAAATGCATGCTTTCTTACATTTTATGCATTTTGTGCTGAGGACTGTTGTTTTCCTCTTTGGAGGATCCCTTCATTTTACTTCAGTGCACTATTTAAATAAATGAGACACTTAGCAGACAGCATAAGCAGACAAGCAGCTGAACTTTCACATCATGTCCCATTACCTAGAAGAAACTAATGCAGGGATAGGTAACAATATTTTTTAAACTAATACTCTGGCCAAGGAAGGAGCTTTGAACAGGGGTGTTTCTACAACCCTCCTCCTGAACTGCATTCCCTGTTGATCCCAGCTTAACTGGAAATAATATGTTTCAATATTTAATTCACTGCCTTAAATTATTCAAATAAATAAAAATATAGTGTCAATTGCTGGCTTGATAATATATTAGTTTTCTTTTATGGTAGAGGAAGCACAGTTGACAGGTCTTTAAGGCAGCCTCCTTCTCAAAGCAGAGTCAGTGCTGAACTCAGACCTGGTTGCTTAATTATTTTTGCACTTGAGTCTTGAAAGCTTCTAAGCACAGAGATTCCATAATGTCTTTGGGCAATGTGTTGCAGGGCTTGACTGTCCTAATGGTGTTGGTTTTTTTTTTGTTGTTTTCTTTTTTTTTTTTTCCCCTCCCCTATGTCAGTTTGGAATCTTGCTTGGTTTAGTTTGACAGTTGTATCTTGTTCACCTCAGAAAAGAGCATGGGAGCATTTTCTTGATAACTTCCGTGTAGGTTTTGGTGGGCTCCTATTAGGTCCATCATAAAGTTTCTGTTCTGCAGGTTGACAAACACAGTTCTTTCAGCCACCACTTATCTTGACAGGCTATTGTTGAATGGTCTCCAGCTTTTCAATGTCTTTTTCTTTTTTTTTCATTGGGTAAGCCAAAATAGGACGTAGTATTCCAGATGTCATCTCCTAAGTGCGGAGTACTGGTGAACAATCGCTTGCCTTGAGCTAGTGATTATGTTTCTGCTAAGGCAGGATATTTTTAACTCTTCTTGCTGTTGGAGTGCACTGCTGGCTGGTATTTAGCTTACTGTCCAACAGGGCCTCTGAAGTTCTTTTTGCAAAGATGTTTTTTTAACCAGTTCCTGCTCAACCTGTATTGTCACATGGGATTGATCTATCCAAGTTGCAAAACTGCATTTGTCCTTACTGAACTTCAAGTATCCTGTCAGGCCATTCCTCTACCCTTTTGAGCTTTTTGCCTTTGAGTGCATTTTCTGCTCCCCCTAGTTTGTATTTTTAAAAAAAAAAAAAAAAAAAAAAAGGAAAATTCTAGTAAACTGTCAGCTGACAGAAAATGGAATAGTTTAGAAATAACATTTGAAAGGAAAAGGGGCTTTCGCTTTCTCTTGATTTTTCCATTTTTCTTTAGTCTTTTACCATCAGTCTCCTCTGTTCAAATGACATGATCTAGTTTTGTCATTATTTTTCTTTTCTTTATGGGGAAACAGTAATTTGCATAATCTACAAGTAGAAAATTAATTTTGTGGGTCAGAGGATGCATTACAATAGAACAGAATTAATTACTCTGTATATTCAATATAATGCTATTGCAAAGCAAGGAAAACAATTATGCATCCTGAGTCTTAGGTTTGGTGGATTAGTCAGCCACCATTTGGGGATTCACATCTTGTGAAATGGTTGAATACAACTAGAGCTCAGGGAGCAGCATAACTGTGGGAAAGCAGGCAATTCATTTGAGTAATTTCAGAGAGTCTCTAAGACATTTCATTGTCTTTACTGCTAATTAGTTTGGTTGAAGAGACTACTGGCCAAACCATTTTGTAATATGATTTACTGGAAAATATGAAGTTACTAATGAACGTTCTTTATTTTAGCATCAAATACTCTTAGGACAAAATATACCAAAATAACTTTTAACAGAGATTGAGCTGTACTTTAAAAAAAAATCAGACAATTAAAACAAGTGCAATTCATGTAATTCATGTAATGTCTTGAAGAAACATCCTGTAAAATTCAAGACTGCTAAAGAACTCTCCATAAACCCCTTAACTGTAGAACTTATATTAGAAACTAAAAAACCCAGAAAAAATAGTAGAATGACTTTTTTTCTTTGAGCTTATTTTAGTGTAATAGGTACAGGTCAGGATTTTTAATTCCTTTACAACGTATACGTGACTGAATGAAGTTAAAAACATGAGAGAAATGAGCTGATGAAGCTTCCATGGAGTTCAGCAAAGGGCAGTGCAAAGACCTGCACCTGAGGAGGAATAACCCTATGCAGCAAAGGCAGGCTAGGGACCAAACTGGAAAGTGGCTTTACAGAAAAGGGCCTGGGGACCCTGGTGGACAACAAGGTGAGCATGTGAACGATAATGGGTCCTTGTGGCAAAGAAAGCCAACAGCTGGTCTTCCCAGTACAAGAGAGACATGGACACGGAGTGAGTCCAGCGAGGGGCTGTCAAAGATGATTAAATTCTTGGAGCACCTTTTGTATGAGGAGAGACTTGAGAGGGCTGAGATTGTTTAACTCCAAAGGAAAGGTCATGGTGGGGATTACATCCTTGTGTAGAAATATCTGTTGAGCAGGGAGAGTAAAGGCAATTGAATCAGACTTCCTTCAGTAGTGTCTAGTGACATCACAAGACACAAGAGACCACAGGCACAGGTTGAAATACAGGAAATCCCAGTATTTTTAATTTATTTATTTAACAGCAGAGATTATGGAAATAAAGAACAGGTTGCCCATAGAGGCTGTGGAGTCTCCACTTTGGGAGACAGACAAAACCTTACTGGATGTGGTCCTGAGCAACTTTCTCGAGTTGAACCTGCTTTGAGCAGGAAGGCTGGAGTAGACAAAACTCGGCAGGCTCTTTCCAGCCTCAGCTCTTCTGTGAGTCTGTAAACACTCACATGTGTTCTTTCTCATTTTTATGACTGGTTATAGGAATATCATGAAAGAGCTGCTGTATTGTGAAGGTGGCTACTTCTGGCTGGTCACTACAAAGTATGCTTATGGTGACTTTAACTCTTTCACTTCTGTGGTATATTTCACCTAAAAATCTCCTCGTCTTAAATAGAATCAGTTGAACCATGCTGTGTCAGTAGGGACTGTATCTGCACTTTTGAACTACATATGTCCAAAACACAGGAAGAAGCATTAGCATGGAAACATGGATACTGGGGGAGTTGACCAGAAAAATACATTTACCATATATTTTATGTATAATAACAAAAAAACTTATAAAAAAATTTAATAAATTATATGATCCTTATCTGCAGTTTTCTGCCTTGCACAGATTACTGACTGATACTTGTTCCAAACAGTTGGTTAAACATATCTCATATCGAACTCTTTTGTAGTTCTAACAGAGCAGAACAACGTAGTTCAGTTTGATTGTTTGTACGTACAAGATACAAAACGTGTCCGTAACTTGTTTAATTTTATTTTTTCCCCCTTTTCCTCCCTCTTCCCCCTCTCCCCAGGAATTGAACTAGATGAAGATGGAACCTTGGATGGAAGCAGCGATTTAACCATTAGGGGTCGTCTCTTATACCTTATGGAAAAAGTTACCTATCTGAAGAAAAAGCAAGCTGAGAAGCCCATTGATGATGATACTAAGACATCCTGTAAGCAAAATTAAATCAGTTTATTGTTTCTTTATTCCAAAAGGGAAAAGCAGCAAGGGAGGAAATTCTTCATATATCTTCAGCCAAAATAAGGTGGAGTTTTAGTGAAACATCTGTCCATCTTCAAACTTGTATTTCTGGCTCAAAACAAGCTGAGATAGAATTTTTATGATAGGCAGATTTGTTTCCCAGTGGGATGTAGTGGAAAATTTCTTCTACTGTTTTTTTCACCCTTGATCCTTTTTCAAGTCACAATTTTTCCAGAAGCTATCTTGCCTTTTGTAGTACTTGCGCGGGCTTAATAATTGCAGCAAGTTCCTGATTATGAAAATGTACTCATAAAGTCAGCTGCAGCAGCTTCAAATCAGTATTTGCATGAAGATTGTCACATTCAAGAAGACTGTGCAATTAGACCATATTTTACAAAGCTGTACTTAGGAGAAGCTTCCCCACCCAACCTAAAATTCAAGATTTGCTGACTGTGATTGCTCCTCTGTCATTTTTCTGACATTTTCTTCCTTTTCATCTTTACAAGAATCATTGCCAGTGGCATCCAATTTGTTCACTTGGTGCCAACTGATGATATTTTACTTGTCAATGATATTTTTAATTCTTTTTCCCTTTATTATGTTGAGTGGCTCTTTCAAATGTCCTAATGTTTTATGCTGCTACCCTACTAGCAGGAATGAATTTCTAGGCACACAGTTTAGGTGTTCTGACTTCGGCAAAAACTTGGTTTCCATCATTAACTACAAAGAATTCCTAGGGAGACTGGCCTTTTAACTTAGTCGCTTAATATAAATGCTAAAGGTATGGGATAAGATGATTTTCCCAGGGCACTTAGAATGAATGAAATGGCTTCTCATCTGCCAGTTGTTAGGGTTAGCTTAGTGTTCTTTAAGTAGAAATATTTTCGTCCTCCTAAAAGTGTGCCTTCTAGCTTTGCAGTTTATAACTATTTCAGTTATCAGGCAGTGATAATTAGAGGCTAGGTCTCTGCAGAATGTGGTGATGGCTCCTACAGTTACCTAATTTTATTTCTTGCAGTAAACTTAAAGCTCTTAAAAATCTGATTCTTTCCCTCTCATGTTAGTAGAAAGACAGTATTATATTAAATGAACTAACCAGCATTGTGGCTAGGCTGCTTGGGTCGTTATCTAGCAAGATAACAGCCAGACCCACAGGTAGACGGGGTGCGGCATTGCCATTGTCAAAACAGGAGTCAAACGACAGTCTGCTCATGTGTTTCTTCACAAAAAAAACCAAAGGAAACTGATATTGCTGTCCCTTCTCATTATTAATTATTTCAGTCCTGCGGAAATACCAGCCCAAACATATTTAATCCCTTTACTTAACTTTAAAGTGGTTTTATTCTAAATAATGCTAGGCTGTGTGACAATGGAAATACCTACAGTGTAGTAATAATAAAATACAGTACTATTACTGTTTTTTCCCCTTAACCCTATATTAGCACATCTTAGCACAAATCCTCTTCTTTGTTAAACACTCTCTTTTCTGTAAACCCCTGTTCCTTAAACATCTTTCTTTAAGCACTTTTACTTTTTTTGTGTGGGTGTGAGATCAGCCTGAAGTTGCACCTGGTCTACTCCAAAATCATGTTATTGTCTCAACACATAGATTTTTTTTATTTGAAAAATAATTTTTGTGTTTAGTCTGCACCAGCCACCTTTTTTGATATCAGGATATTTACTAGACAGTTTCTTGAACTTCGGGATTATCAAATTTCTCTTGTCAAACTTTCCGTGTTATGAGCTTGACATGAAAATGAATTGATTAGTTTGGTAAGTACTAAAAGTGAAATTCTCTAGTGTCTAATTATCAGGATATCTCAAGAGGGTCCTGAATTGATTTGACAAAGTCTTGCAAACCTGAATGGTATTTCCCTGAGATGGGAAAAAGAACATTATTTAATTGTCTTTATGAAATACTTTGTCTTGATTGTTATTTCATGAGTAATTTTTCTAAACAGTAGTCGCAACTCGTAACTGACATTATGTAGCTTGTCTATTTTAACTGATGAATACATGAGTATATATAGATACATATCCCAGCTAATAAAGGTTGTCAGTGGGAATACCAGATATGTGATTCTTGCTTCATAAGAGATTGAATTCAAAATATGCAAAAGTCAGTTTACCGTTTCATTGGAGTCTTTTAATTTCTGTTTCTTTGAAGGGCCTTTTGATTTTTGCAAAAAAATAATTTAACTCGACTAATTTATATTATTCTGTCTTATACATTATAAAATTTTGGGTGGATACAGAGCTCAGAGATGTAAATATAGCATTTTCATGTCCTACAAGTATATTTTTCCAGTCTTCCTACTTCATAGTATGTAAGAAAAACCCTCAAACCTGAATCACTGGAAAAATCTTGAAAGCAATACAAAGAAATAAATCTGGTGGCTTAGTCAGCATCTTGTATATCTTCATGATTTTATACATCATCAGGTTTATCTTCTGTATTTTAATTTTAAATACAGGCTTTTGTTTTTGAGATGTTTTTGTTTCACTCATGTGACTTTATTTTTTTTTGATAGTCTGCTAAACAAGTACTAAGGAAAACGTGCTTCCTAAGAATTGAATTAATTCCAGTTCATATTGTATAATGAGTTGTGTTATACAGAACAGTAGAGAGATGAGCAATTAATGGTAATTTTGTGATTTATGTATTTTCTTCACAGCTACTCTTCAGCAGTTGATTTCAGACACCATGGTACGCTGGGCCCAGGAATCAGTGATAGAAGACCCGGAGTTAGTGAGGGCCATGTTCGTATTGCTGCACCGCCAGTATGATGGTATTGGTGGCCTGGTGCGAGCCCTACCAAAGACCTACACCATAAATAGTGTGTCTGTGGAAGACACAATCAATCTTCTGGCATCCCTTGGCCAAATCCGTTCCTTGCTTAGTGTCAGAATGGGGAAGGAGGAAGAGAAACTTATGATTCGTGGATTAGGGTAAGTAACTGGAGTGTGACGTCTCTTTATGTACAGATATTTGTTGTTATTTGCTATATGGTTACAGCCAAGGTTATACTTGATGTTTGAATGTGAATAGTTTATTATGGATGTAAATGTAGACGCTGGTATCTGTTGAGCAGCATCTTCAGTTGTAAGATCTGGCCTTTGCAGCAACATATCCAGCATTTCTGGAGAGCACCAAATGATGTCTGTTAGAGTTTTTGTGAGAAAAGTTGAAAATATGTACATAATATTTTATAACATTACAAAATGTATCTTGTTATTATATTTTAAATAGTATGGCTGTGAGGAATCCCATCAAGAATATTATGCATTTTATATGAGTGCAGTGACTGGTAGCTGTTCATGCATACTGTTTCCCCCAGTAGTCAGCTAAAAGTTTTCTGTCTATATATATGCCACCTTTTTATGGAACTGAATGCAGTTGGTACTATTTGAACTATGAAGCAGTTCACCCAGTCTTACTTTTCCTAATGATATGATTAGCAATAGTGAAATATAGCCTGACAAAGAGTAGAGGAAACAGTAAAGAGAACGTGATCGTCTCTACTAGTAAAGAGTATGAGTTTTTAATCTCACTTTTATCCAAAGAAACATTAAAATCTGGGAGATATTTGGTGAGATTAGACATCAGCTGTGATCTATGTATGTAATCATTTAACAGATACTCTCCAATTTTGAAAAGACAGACATTCATTTTAAGACAAAGATTAAACCTACCGTTGCCATGAAGGTTTGATTCTGTTATAAATCCCCAATCAGCAAGAGCAATGTCAACCAAAGATAGGATTATATGAAGAATGCCAGGAATGCAAGAAGAGAAGGTTTTGTTGTGAAGTGTCTTTTTCTTTTGTAAGCTTCTGTAAACAATTTTGAGTTTACTGCAAACCTCATATATCCAGATAATATTTACTCATGATTTTGTAGTGTCATTATGAACAAGGCCTGCTTCTTAGCTTGCCAGCAGGTCCCATCAATGTTCCCTAGTTGTTGCTATGTTCAATGTACTCATGCAAAGGGCAGCCCATCACCTTTGAACTTCAATTCTGAGTTGCTACATTTCACTTAACAGTCTAAAATGAGTGAGTCATTACTAGATTTTGCCTGGCTAAAAAAAAATCTCAGAGGGGGTTTCATTTCATGTTGTTATGTCTTTTTATTATTATACATCTTTTTCCTTAGCATTTTCTGTTATGAATTAAAAGCTCATATTTTCTGAATCTGATTTTATTTTAAGAAAGTTTTCAATGATATGTGAAAGTCTTGTATAAGGAAGAAAGAGTACTTTCTATGCAGCTGGTGTTCTCACTGCCTCTTCCTATCACCCTTCTTGGTAGACTCTATCATAGTTTTGTTTATCCTGTAAGTAACTGAGCTGTGCCATTTGTACATTGTATAGCCTAACCTGGGCTCCAGCACCTATTTAGAAATGCCAAGGTTTTTGCTGTGAGTGGGAAGTATTCCTTTTCTCCAGCTGAGAAATGGAGGCATCCCTCATTCCTGTGTAGAAACTGTTTCCTCAGAAATGCTGTTTGTTTTTTTTTTTTTTTTTTGTGTGTGACATTTCATAATGCAGTCCACAGTTAAACAGAACACTGAAAGTGGATGTGCTTTTCAAAGTAGTGTAATATTGCTGGCCAGCCGATGAGGAGACATTTTGACTTTCTGTACTTTTTTTATGTTAAAGAATGCTGATGTAGGCAAGTGAGAGTTTAGAAAGACTTGGCAGGTTAATGCCATCAAGGTCTTTTTCCACAGCGTGAACCATTAGTGCAGGAAGGTGTGGTATGGATACCTTCTGGGGGCAGGGCCTATCCTTTGTCATCTCTGATACGCAGTCTGGTTGTAGGCTTTGGGGCAAAAGATCAGCTAATCTTTCTGGGATTTACTGGCAGTCAAAACCTCTGATAGTGCCACCTCCATCAGACATGTGACATACAGTCTGTTGCATGACTGATAGCTGTGGATTTGTAGCTTTTAGAGTGATGGAACAGTCCTCCTCACATCTCGTCTTTTATAAGGCTGAAATTTTTCTTGTCTGATTGTGGGAGTTTAAGTTCAGAAAAAAAAAAAAAAGACTGCTATAAGAAGTACAGTGAAATTTGAACAGCTGTCAGCAGCATTTTCTATAGTGACTTGCCTAGTCTTTTTCTCCTGTGACCTGATTGCTTTGCTTTCACATTCATTTCTGGGTTCTGTGTGATTTCAAGAGCAATAACAGCTTTTAGAAATTTGATTACTTTTTAAACCAGACATTTTTATTGGATATAACATGTCTGCATAAAAGCTTGACATTATAATCTTCAGAACTGATGTTGAAGTATGGAAATCTGTTCTGCTGAAATATGTAGAAAAGTTCTTATAAGCAGTAACTCCTGAATTACAGTTAATCTTTACGCAATGTCTGTTTCTGATGCTTAGGGGATAGCTGCATATACATTCTCTTTTTTTTCTTGATTTTGATGGCATATGTCAAATGTCTCAAGGTTGAAATATTCTGAAAAGAATGCTTTGTCAAAAATATTATTTTATTAATTGATTTGAATTTAAATTTAAGATCATATAGCAGATTTGATCATGCTCTTGTCAGAAGATAATTTTAGATCTAGAATGGAATTTCTAATGAAAATAGAAGAACATCCTGCTCTGGTGTTATTAAATGGTGATTAGGGCAATAGCTAAAATATGGGAAAAGGAAGGTCAAGTTGCTCCAGAATGAAAAATAGACTATCAAGAGAGATTGAGACTCACCCTGAAAAAGTCCCTGAGGTAATTTTTCACCTCAGGTGGTGAAGAATTGTGTAGTAAATCAGCTTTGCAAATAACATAATAGGTAAACTATTGGTCTGTAACATTTTAATCCAATTCTTTTTTTATTTTTTTCCTGTAGAGACATCATGAATAATAAAGTATTTTACCAACATCCAAATCTCATGAGAGCTTTAGGCATGCATGAAACTGTCATGGAAGTGATGGTAAATGTGCTTGGTGGAGGAGAATCCAAGGTAAAGCAATTCACTGGTGGAAGAGAGTTTAGAATACAACTGTTCAAATATTTATCCTGTAAGGTGCTGAGCAGTCATTGGAGGGTCTGAGAACATAAACTCTTACTAATTTCCATAAGCTCAATAAGTTTTTAGAAGAACCTGTCTTTCCATTCTGGAGGAAGATACAATTAGCTTTCTAACTTCAGATGCTTTAAAGACAAAAAAAAAAAAAAAAAAAATGCAAATAGCACTTTATATGCTGACTGGGTTTTCAAGGAGAGAACTTTTTAGAAGCTAAAGAAAAATCTGTACAATATTACTCCGTGAATCTGAGCATTCATGTTCTTTCATGTTTGAATCTAGAATTTACGAGTGAACCCAGCTCTTGTGCCTCAAGCTTATACCTTGATCTCTGGGTCTTCAGGAGGAAGTTACTTGCTGAGAACGCCCTGTTGTTTTCAGGGTTAAACCTAAACTTCACTGAGATGCAATAAATACAATGCATAAATATTAGTGTTTTAAAAGGCTGTTACATAAACGATCTTTTCTAGGTTTTATGTCTGTTTTAAGTTTGAGATTCAGTCTGGTTTTATTTGCTTCTTAGGAAATCACTTTCCCAAAGATGGTGGCAAACTGCTGTCGTTTTCTATGCTATTTTTGCCGCATCAGCAGGCAGAATCAAAAAGCCATGTTTGATCATCTTAGCTATTTATTGGAAAACAGCAGTGTTGGCCTTGGTGAGTAATAAGTCTGTGACTTTTGAAGTTCTAAGTCAAAACCAAAATCTTAAAAATACCTGCTGATTTACATAGATATGTATATATAAAAAGCCATGTGTTTTTCTGCATCCCTCTGTCTTGAAGCTTCTCCTTCTCCTAGTACAAAAATGTCTTCCTTAACTGTATTTCTAACTCCAGACAACCCCCTGACAGTAGCATTAAGTTGAGGTAATTTAGCACACACCTTTTGTATGTGCCTGAACGTTAAGAAGGAATCAGTGTTGAGTTGCACATTTAGAAAAGAATAAAATTGTGTTTTGAGGAAGGGAATCATAAGTGTTGCCAGCATTTTATTAGAGCTTATTTTTCACTGCTCAAGCTTGCTTCCCTGTGCTTTCTTCTGTAGACTGTTCAGTATAAATCTATGGCAGTGGGAGAAATAGAGCTCATTTACTTGAGTATGCATATATAGATGCTCAGAAATGAACCTTGACAGTTTCTTAAAATCTGCCTTTCTTTTCCAGGCTGAAGTGTTCCAGGGGAGATACATTTATCCTTTATTTAGTTTAGTACTTGCAATTCAGAATATATAATAATTTAGAAACATCATAGTAATTTTTTAAATTATCATAATTTCCTTATTAATGTATAGGTACAGAACAGAAGCATAAACTAAAAGTCTTCTTTGAGTGAAAGTTCCCACATCAAATGCATTTAGAGTGTGAAAACCTTAGCTTTTTCTAATCCTATAATTACTGCTATTTTTTAAAATAAATTTTGATAAAATTTAAGTGGTTTAGATATAATATCTTTGCTAACTTTTCTGCAAAATGAAGTTGTACCAGTTAGGAACATTAGAATGACTGAAACCTTAAAACGATGTATGTGATGAGAATAAGAATGTGTAAGAAACGTCATTTCCAGCTTGAACATCTACACTGTATTTTGGTTTCATATCAATGCCAAGTTTCATGTGAGTGCATGATGATTTACTATAAACTGAGTGTTATAAATGATAGGCTTCTAATATTATATGCTAACTAATAAAAAAATGCTATATTTTATGAAAAAAAAGGTTAATTTATTTCCTATGAATTTGTAGAGTTTTTTTTTAAATTGGTGTTGAATGTTATTTTAACAGCCTCTCCTTCTATGCGAGGATCAACTCCTTTAGATGTTGCAGCAGCCTCTGTGATGGACAATAATGAACTTGCACTAGCTTTAAGGGAGCCTGATCTGGAGAAGGTTGGTAGCTTGTAGCTTCTTTGTCAGTTGTTTGCTTTTTTTTTTTTTGTTTGTTTGTTGGTTTGTTTTTTTTGTTGGTTTGGTTTGTTTTTTTTTTTGTTGTTGTTTTGTTTTGTTTTTTTCCCCCCTGTAAAGAGGCAAAGATACCTGTTTCCTGGAGTAATCAAAATCCATGATTATAAGAATTATATAGGGGTTTTAGGTACCTTTCAGATGAAGACTATCAGGATCTTATATTTTGTTCTTTCTGCTGGTGGTGTGGATAGTTGAGCTGCATTTCTCATTATTACACATACTGGTGTAACCAAAAGGAATTGCTTCAAGGGCAGCTCTTTGAGACTAGTAAAGTCCACACCCAAAAAAGCTTCATTGCTAAAATCTTTGTTGTCGTGCCTTGATGGCGACATACAGCAGTGGCATAATGATAAGTTTTTGCAGAGATGTCTATGTACATCTATCTGTGTTTTTTCCTAACATTTAAACCCGCTTCAGAAAAGATTGAAGAAATACAGATTAATTGGATTAAAGAATAAAAAATTCAAAAGTGCATGTGACAATTGTGTAGAATATGTAAATTGCTACTACAAGACAGACGGGAATAATGTCAGTAGTGGATAAGAGAAGTGCCTTAATGGAAAGACAGATTCAAGACAGACATTAAACCCCACTTTCTAAAGGAAACTTAAATAGTGGAATACATTATTCAATCTTTTCTTGAAGATGTCCAGTTTTGGAAATGCTGTAATTGTTGCAGGAAAGCATCTGTCAGGAGTAGTATAAGTGCAGATGATCCCTTTTGGAGCAGCAAGATGGCCCACATGCATTTAAAAGGACATTTTTAGACTTACTGTTCTTATAAACTGTCAGCAAAAAGAAGCTGTCTGAACTGGTTAAAGGCTATGCTTACAATTCAGAAAGGAGAAAGCCAACT